TTCTTCTTCTTCTTCTTCTTCTTCTTCTTCTTCTTCTTCTTCTTCTTCTTCTTCTTCTTCTTCTTCTTCTTCTTCTTCTTCTTCTTCTTCTTCCTCTTTCTGCTCTCCTTTCAACTCTTTTCTTATCTCTCTCTCCTTTCCTTCATTCTTCCTCTTCTTCCTGCTTCTCTCTCTCTCTTCTTTCTTGCTTTCTCTCCTTCTATTTCACTTTCTTCTCTCTCTGTCTCTCTCAATATTTCTCACTTCCCAAAAGTCATAGTTTTACAAGTGAGTATTTGAATATATTCTAAATTTCCCAGCTTTTACAGCAGACATACAGCTCTTGCATTCTAGGCTCCAAATTTCCAATTCCATGACCTGGAACAAGTATTCGATATCTTTAAGTGCCAATCTCCTGATTTGGAAAGTGAGGATTAATAATTTCCTAGGATTTTATTGTAAGGATTACATGATTATTTCTGTACAAATAGCTTGTCACAGTACTTGACAAATATGCAAATTCAGAAATCTGTCATTGTTTTATTTTTATTAATTGTCAGGGAGTAGCAGTTATTTGGTCAAATTCAGTTAGGTACCACTGAATTTAAGATAGGAATAGCAAGCTCTGTATAATACAGTGATATGTGTGTGTGTCTGTGTGAAGGATTCTTTGGTAAATTATATTTTATTTTTGGTAGAAAAGACAGGAAGACATGTTTTTATTTTAATGTATACACATTAATGTGTATAGTGGATTATTATCTGTGTTTTATACAATTGTTAGGGCTTGCATTTAGAGTCCTGGGCTTTGGGAAGCATTTATAAATTCTTATCTTGAGCCTCATCTACTTCAGGATATATTATGTAGATATCTGAAATAATAGCGTTTTAGGTGACTGTGACATAACCTTCCTCTGTCTTTACTTGGGATCTGTGAAAATAAAAAGCTGCTCTTAGATAGCTGACAATTTGCTGGGGAAATATACTGGATCATGTAAAATCTTATCACAGTGGAACCTGATGAAAACTGAGATAGAGACTGAGATAGAGACAGAGACAGACAGACGGACGGACAGACAGATCGATTGATCTAGCCAACTCTGGGAGCACTTGCTTTTGGTTTTGAGAGAATAGAAGGTCAAAGGAGGAGACAAACACAGGTACTTAAAATCACATGAATAGCACGTGTCAGGACTTAAAATCATGAGAATTCACCAAGAGGAAGAAGGAAAATTTGTTGAGTGACAGATTGGATGTACATCGAGGCTAAGATCTACATGGAAGGAACTTCTGCATGTATGAGCAAGGACTGAGGATAAACTTTTCCTTTCGGAATTTAAGATATGAAAAACACTGTGTGTGTGTGTGTGTGTGTGTGTGTGTGTGTGTGTGTGTGTGTTTGGGGGAGCACTGATTATTGTGATTGTATTGTTTTTAAATCGATTACCACTAAAGGCTAAAGGTTTTGTAAACAGTGGGAAAAACAATTAGTAAATGCAACAGTAGTGCCTTGGTGAAAGCTTCTATTTTTAAGGTTAATTATTTGTTTAATTAAAGCCTTTAGAATCAACCTGAGGTGCTATTGCCTGGAAATATTGGGCAGACGTGATTATCTTTGGCAGTGTAAGAAGTGTGCGGCAGCATTTTTCACATCTTAATAACATCTACCCTTTTCTGACTTTTGAAGACTATCTCACATTGTGCTTTTATTTATATTAAGTATTTTCTCTAGGAATTATTGACCACGCATGTCCTTATAACTTTATACATGAAGGACCTGAGGCATACAGAGGTCAAAATCCCATACCTGGAATGTAATAGAGCTGTGACTTGTACTCAAGATTCTGTATTCTTAAGGGATTCCTCTCGGGACGTGGGTGAGATATTAGCTTGGAAAGACACGGCATTTGAGGAAGAAGGGGTGTTTTGGAAGCCATTGAAATACTTAGGAAAGAGAAGATGATGGAAGGAAAAGAGAGCAGTACGTGTGACAAGAAAATGCAACCAGAAGCACATGATGGTCCTCTGTGGAGAAATAATGAATTATTAAAGGATATTTCTGGGCTGATTGTTAATTTTTTGTTTTTTAATAAAATAGACTTTATTACAACAGAGGACACAATAGCAAGAATGCAATTTGGTGAAAATAATGATCTATGTTTGGGGTCGAATTTAGTAAAGCAGGGCATTAGTAATATTTTGGTTCTGAAGTTCATATAAAAAGAGCAGAACAAAAATATGGAGCTGCTGACGACTTGGACTTATGCTTCAGGTTTGTCTCAGGCACCAATATTCGCTTTGGTCTTTTGCATCAGCTTGTATATAGTGAGTTTTTCTTCTCTTTTGGATTTCTTATCAGATAAGTCAAAGGAAGCTCATAGTCTATGTAGTATGTCATTGCAACTAAACACATAATCCTCTAACATACCCTTAGTTAAACAGCTAAAATGTAAATGTCAGCATCTGGCATTTCAGTTTCATATTGTTGTTTTCATCCTCTGCTGCTGAACGTGGAGAATTAACTTTGGAGTCTGTGCAGACCACCGCCCTCTCGAATTCATGGGTTGACACAGACTCATGTGAGCTCTACGTGGTACCGACCTCTTCTGAAAGCCGAGGCTGGGTTTCTGTGATACTTGCTAGGATACAAGAGCTGGATATAAAATGATGAACACTTTTCACTCTGATGTTCTCTGCAGAAACTGCCACTCTGGGAGCCAGGGCCTGCGAGGAGGAGCTTGCCGAGCAGCAACTGAGAGCAACCTCAGGTGATTGTTTCTGTCCCTTTCAGAAGCTGCCTTGTCCTAAGAGGATTGCGTTTGTTACTCTTCTAAGTGATGCAATGTGTTCTGTAGAACTGGTCTAGTTAGACGTGATCAGATCCCTTATATAAAACAATGAAAAGCCAGTCAGACATATCCAGTATTTGGACGCATTTGTGGGACGACTTTAACTTTCAGAGCAGCCTTATGGCAATGGCAAAATTGAGAGAACGAAGAGTTCATGTACCGCACCTAGCCCTATACATGCTTACCTCCCTCATTATCACCCTCCTGCACCCCGTAATGGCTGGAATATCCACTACGACTGACGAAGTTACATTGTCATACTTTTCACCCCCAAACCATACTTCACACTAGGGTTGACTTTTGGTGATGTATATCTTATAGGTTTGGACCTATACCCATCATTTTAACATCATACAGAATAGTTTCACTATGCTTAAAGGTAATGTGTCCAACTTATTCAGTGTCTGCCACTCCAAACCACACCTGTGGAAAGCACTGACTCTTTGCTGTCTCCATATTGCTGGCTTTTCTAGAATGTCGTATATTTGAAATGATAGAGTGTATAGGCTTTTCAGATTAATTTTTTTCACTTAGTATTATGCGTTTATTTTTTCATGTTTTGAAAGCTCATCTCTTTTTAGCACTGGATAATATTCGACCGTCTGGATTTATGAGCCTTGTCATTCTCTAGTTAAGGGCATCCTAATTGCTTCTAAGTTGTGGCAATTGTAAATGAAGCTGCTATAAACCTCTGAGCAGGGATTTCCATGTGGGCGGTAATTTTCATTTCTTTTGAGTTAACATCAAGGAGTGCAATTGCTGGATAAGATGGTGGCGTTATGTCCAATGTTGTAGGAAACTATCAAACTGTTCCAAAGTAGCTGTACTGGTTTGCCTTCCTACCAGCAGCGAATGAGAGCTTCTGCCACTCCCACCCCCCGCATCAGCATCTTATGTCAGTATTCTGGAGTTCGGCCATTCTAACCGGTGTGCAGTGGTATTCTCTTGTTTTTATTTGAAATTCCCTGCTGACATGTGGCATGTGGAATATCTTTCATGTAATCCTTCACTACCTGCATATCACCTTTGCCGAGATGTCCCTCAAGGTCTTTGAACTGTTTTCAAATTGAGTTATTATTCACTATTGAGTTTTAACATTTTGTATTTGAATAATAGTTGTTATCAGATATGCTGTCTGTAAATATTTCTTCCAGGTAGTGACTTGCCTTATTCTCTCAACAGTGCCATTCATGAAGAAACAAACTTAATTTTAATGAACTTGAGCTTAGCAATTCCTTGGGGATTTTGTTTGTTGTGGTTCTTAGAAAGTGGTTGCCAAACCCAAGGTCATCTAGATTTCCTTCTATGAAGCCTTTTAAAGTTGTATGTTTCTCGGGGCTGGGGATTTAGCTCAGCGGCAAAGCGCCTGCCTGGCAAGCGCAAGGTCGTGAGTTCGGTTCCTGGTACCGGAGAAAAACCAAAAAAAAAAAAACAAAACAAAACAAAAAAAAAAAGTTGTATGTTTCTCATAACAACTTCAAGGTGCATATCTCAATATTTTCTACATTTTGTATGTTATTCTTCTCTGCATAAGTAGACAGCATATTTAAGATAATATAGAATAAGCCCAGTCTCTCTCCCCCACCTTTAACCACTACTAAGATTACATTAATGACTTTGGCTTAAAATAGCAGAAAAGCAAGACTTTTAACAACATTGAGCTAAAAATGGCCCACTGGTCACCAATACACTTTATTCTTTTTGAACAAAGACACTGGAATATAAATCTTTACATTAGTCTCTCTGAGATGCTTAGATTTAGATATTCTGGTACATTCTGAATATTTTCATCCAGATGTTCTATGGAAAAGTCAAATTCCAAATTTTACTATCCTTTCTGCAACAGTGTTTCTTTTTCTGATTTATTCCAACTCTGTTGATGAGATCAGGCCATCACGAAATAAACTAGGGGTCATCAGTTTTACTCAAAATATCAGCTCGTGCCTCTGTGTGCCAGATACTGGCGCCCAGTGTTCATGAATAAGACAACAGGAGTGCCTTTTGCTAGGTAATATTTCTAGATACCAACACAGGGAATTTTCAGATTGCAGTAAATGTAGTAAAGGTGGTGAAAGAGGCAGTAGGCTAGAGCAGCTTTTCTTAAAGTATATTCCACTCTAGAATTGTTCAGAATACAAATTCTGCCCTTCCGCAACTGACTAAATCAGAATCACTGGGGAGAGGATCCAGCAGTCTGTGATTTGTCAAGGTCTGCAGGTGATGGTGATTCCAGTGGAATCACCCCCTTACCTGTGTGACAGGTGATGTTTTACTTTAGAAGAAGTGGTCTGATATGTTTTCCAAGGAAGTGACTGGTGAGTTGAGTCCTGAAGAATTAGAAGGGGCTAATTATGCAAGAAATCTGTTGAAACATTTCCATAGAAATGTTGGGTACATTCTCTTGGAAGAGAAAAAAGGCTAACTTGGGGGAAGTGAGTTAGGAGAATACTGCAAAATGTGTTCGGAAAAGCAAGCAAGGGCCCCATCAGTTCAGCCATGGCTCCAAGTCCATGTTACTCCACGTGCAATGGTCAACTATGCCAGAGTTCAAGCAGCAGAGTGGCTTGCTTTTACTGGGGCTTGCAGGATAAATTTCAGGGCAGCAAGAGTGTGTCTTACCTAGTAATGAAACTATTTTAGTAGCACAGATAGGAGGCTAAAGGTATTGGCAAGGAAAATTTAAAGACATGGATAGATTCAGAAGAAGAAATGTTAGATCTTGTTCATCGGCAGGATGCATGTGAGAGGGAAAGAGTTAAGAACTGTGTCTAGTGGATGGTGGTATGGTTAACAGAGATGGTGAAGGTGGGATGAAAAAATGGAGAAAGATGTGTTAAGCAGGGATCCAAAGCTATGATTTCGGCGTATTAAATTTGGTATGCCAGATTTAATTTAGACATCCGTATAGCGGTATATTATTTAAAACCACAGGTCTGGGATCATTTACAGAGAAAATGTAGACAGAGAAAAGGGCTTAGGACCAATGCTGGAGGACTCCAATGTTTACTTAAGAGCGGAGGCCCCAGCAAAGTGGAATGAGGAGAAACTTTCAGAGAGGTGCCATGAAACCCAGTCATTCTGAAACAGTGAAACCCAGAGAGCTGTGTGTTCCGAGGGAAGGGAGCAGTAACATCTGTTGAGCAAAGGAACTGAGGTCAGATGCGGAGGAGTGACCTGTAGGACTTCACAGCATGGAGGTCATTGGTGACGTTGAGAAGAGTGATGTAAAGAGAGGCCAGGCTTTTTCTTTTTTGAGAGAACTAAGTAATGAGATTTAATAATAGAAAAAAACAAAGACAAATGAAGAAAACCAAACCACAGTATGAAAATAAAACCAAATATTGCTTTTAAATTTTATTGAAGAGGAATAGAGGATGGAGTAAAGTCTGGACTCTCCTTTCCCCAGTTTGCTTGTTCCGTGTATTCACTGCTCCCGGTAGTATGTCTTGCCTTCTTGCCATATTCCGGATACTTCTGGCACAAAGATAGGTAAAGTGATTCCTATTTTCAGAAAATGTGTACTGATAAGGCCAATAGGCAACCCACAGATAATTTCCACATACAATCGAAATTGGTTATACTGTTAGGCATTGATACACAGGAAGAAAAATATAACTTTCCAGACACATAATCAAGTTCAAAATCCAGAAAAGACTTTGGGGGAAGGAAACAATGGATAATACTATTACAAGTAACACAAGTATCATTTTTACTAAACACCGATTTTGTATCAGGCTTTGTGCTGATTGATTTTCATAGATAAGCCTATGAAGTAGATATTATGATCTCCATTTTTCCAGATACTGAAACAGATTCCCCAGGTTGGGCATGAAGGATGTAGTGGAGGTTATACACTGAAGAAAAGTTAGCATAGATAATTAAAGAAATCTAACAGTAAAGGTGCGGGGTGGGTGTATTACAAACAGTTGGTGTTTCTTAGTGGCATTTACAAAACGTGGCCTGGACCAAGACATCAGCGGACCTGGGAACTTGATAGAAATGGACATTCTCAGCACTCACTCTTGACCTACTAAATTAGTGGGGGAGGCAGCAATCTGTTTGAATATCTTTTCCAGGCAATTCAGATACCCTAGCTAGAAGAAACACAGACAAAAACAAAAGCTACTTTAGTGTCTTTATTTTGGAATTTTTTGTAATATATTTATATCCCGCAGATAGAAGGTTTTTCCTTTAACGCACTGTTACACTTTTCTTATAAAAATCTTATACTTTGCGGCCTTTTATCATTAAGGAAACATGGTACTTGACTATTAGAATGTAGCCTTCCCTAATGCCAAACCTAACCTATGGATTTTGTAGAGAAAGTGGTTTCTTCACATTACTACTATTGACTCTAAAGTATATTTTTATGAGGAATGTCAAGTTTATTTCTAAAACTCTTTTTGAGAATGAAAGTGACCTTTTATTCTAACTTATATGAAACTTTATGATGTGTATAAGTTACCCTGTGATTATTTTTTGCATGATTAAAAATTTGCAAAGTTCTTATGGCTCCAAAGAACCTACCTGTAATAAACAGCTTTCGCCTTCTAAACCGCAAAACAGATCTGAATTGCTTGCGCATTACAGCTAATTGCCTGCCTACTTCAAAGGAAGAACTGAAAAGAGAGGGGGAAAGAAAGTCACAGGACCAGGAATATTGCAGGCAAATCCACCTCTGAGGGTTATGAGTTGTGGCTTGGAGCTGCTGGGCAAAGTTATGGCCCCAGAACTGCTGTTTGCGATTAAGCTGATGGGGAGAGTGTATCCCACAACCTTTCCCTGCTGCGGACACAGAGCCTTTGTTCACATTCAGATTTCTCAAACTGTTGCCAGGGTCAGGCTGAGGTCAGACACCGCAGTGATGTATAGAAGAACATGTCTGGGAATTTCTCTCACACTTAAAACACATACCAGAAAATGAAGAAGAGGACCTTGCAAAATCTGTCTGATGAGACCCAGATTATACTGTAGCTTTTCTTTTAGTGCCTTCATAATTTTCTGTCTCTTCTCCTGACACAGTGTTTTATTAATGCGAGTTGCGATAGCCCGTGTGATTTTATGTCCCCTCAAGATAAGGATGCTCAGTAGCACCCTGACACTTCATTTTCCAGCCCAGGGGGAAAATCCAGTAAATCTATTCACGGGAATCTTGCATCCCTGCCCCGGATGAGTTGGAAAGTAGTCGCTGTGGGCCTGACACTGGCGATTGTGCCGCGTGTGTGCAGTTGGCATGAACAGCCCAATCTACTCGAGACCCCGCCTGCCGCCTCCTGGCAAGCCCGTCCTGGTTGCCCTACCCGCCAGCCCAGCCTGGCTCTGGGAGGAGGGAACCTGTGTTTGACCCGTACTTGTCTCAAAGGGAGGAAAGCAGTCTAAAGTCAGATAAAATTTGTTCTCTGTCCTCTTAAAGTTTTCTTGTCTATTTTCTTGAAAGAGAAGCTTCCCCCAAGCCCTCGGAAGACCACTTGAAGGGTCTTCCCTCTGCTGTGGTGCAGAGGCAGGGTGAATGGGTTTGTATGGTGTCTTGGAGGACTCACAGTGGACCCGGCCTTATTTGGAATGTACTAAATGTCCCTGCTTTCCCTTCAGCTTTTTGGAGTTTTTAATGGAGCCTAGAACTGCTCCCCTCTGCTGTAGCTCTGCCCGCACAGTGGCAGAGCGTGGCTTGCAAGTGAGGCACTAAATAGAATTTTTTTTCTTGTGCTCAGCTGCTACAGATGACAGTGGATATTTCATTCTGCTGTCAGAATGTTATTAATAAAACATGGGGTGTGGAAAGGGCCATGATTTCCCCTTTCAATCACTATAGCATTTGCAATGAAAATTTTATTCAGTGTGTAATTTTCAGTTAATGCTTGACACTTAAAATGTCCGTGGCAACGTTTTGTATGGTTATTGAAGGGTTAATTGTATCATGTTCGCTGCATAAAAGCTCTGCTTATCAAAAGCAAATAGAAGAGTGTATGCAAATGTGTGTCGGTGACCTTTTGCCTTTCCAGGGTTAATTTATATGGTCATTAAAGATTTTATGAAATTGAGCGGCCTGGTGCTTCAAATCCCATTTTACCTTCTTCACCTAATTTATGTAATTCCTACCTGAACCGGGAGTATGATTTTTATTTTTTGCGCTGCAATGAAAGCAGCACGCCATGCTGTGGGGAGTTGTGAGCTTGGTTATCTGGCATTACTCAGATTGCTAAAAATTCATTAAAATGTGACATCAGCACACCAAGAGACAAATGATCGCAGGATGAAAGAGAACAGTGGGCCTTTCACGGATTAGTGTTGCGCGGCCCGGCGTGGAGGCTAACCGCATAAACAGATTAGTCTACCAGCAGCGGCAGAGCTAAGATTTACAGAATAATTAAATAGGTTTGAGTTACTGTGAGGATTTCCATGTCATCTAGCTGGTGTGAGGCTGTGAAGGAGGTGTAGGGTGATGCAGTTGTCACAGAAGTACACCTTGCTGTGTCCTAGGTCCCGAACAGCTCCCACTCTGAAAAAGTCCTCCCAGGTAACTGAAGTTTTAATATCTTCCTTTAACAAGCTGTCATAGAATACCTCTGCAGTTTAGAGCCTGAAAACAGGAGTCATCCCTGTCTTTTATGTAATCTACTACTATCACATCATTTCTCTGAGAACTGTGTCTAAAAATCTGACACCTAGTCAGGTCCATGGAGTAGGGACCATGTTGCTGCAGGTCTCCACTGTTGAAATCAGACACTTGCTTTCCACCTAATATTTTCGTCCCTTTCAGCATAGACTGCAACAGCGGTTCCTTTCACTTTTAATTTGGTATATTTAGGTGTGCCCAGTGGATACGGAAGAAGTTGTTTTAGGTGAAAATTTGCATGAGTGTGTCTAGTATGGTCTAGTATAAACTTTTCATGACTCTATGTTCTTTTATGAGTGAGAGTATCTGAAGACAATTTGAAAAAAGCTTTTAGTTTATTTTACTGTGCATTTTGGGGAATTTCCAATGCTACTAACTCATGTGCCTTTCTTAACAGAAGAGCAAAGTGAGGAGGCGGAAGGAACTCTCAAGCCCACAGCAGCGGCTGAGGATGATGAGAAAGACTCAAGTGAGAGAGACGATAGTGAAGGCAAAAACTCCAATAAAGACCCTGGTGAGATGCTGGGCTCCTTTCCCTTTCATTGTCTCACACCCATCCATTCCCTGCAATCAACTTCTCCCTCCCCCCAAGAAAGCTTATTAAAAGCTTTTATTCATTTTAAGCTGTCTGAACATTCTCACTACTATTCATTGCATGTGCATTTTGCATGTGATTTCTATCAGTAGCCTCCCATTGACCTATTTTTAATCATAACCATCTGACAGAATAGATGTGGATAAGTTGAAGAATATTACAGGACGACCAGCGAGATTATTTTTTAATCAAATCAGTTTGTGTGCTTGTAATTTTTTAAGCGCCTTTCATTAATCTTAGCTATACTTGTGATTCCTCTGATGGCATATTAATTTTTCATAAGCACAGGATTAGATATCACTTGAATTTTGTCATTCAATCATATGTGTCCCCTCCCACACAATGTAACCCTAAAAATAAATGCTATTTTTCCTTTTTTTTTTCCCAACTTACACTCAGGAATTTGCTCTTCTTAAGGGCATCTATTTGAAGCATTTCAAACAAAATCCAGTGAAAAACTTTACAGATGATTCAGCCTAGGAAAGAGGAAATATCATTGAAAAGGGATTAGGTGCTGGGTAATTTTGATCTTCTAGAATAGACAAATCCCAGTAATGAAAGCTACTGTCTTTGAAAACAAACCTTCATTTCATGACATTTACTTGTGCACAAACAAACCCTGGGCCAGCATCTGGTGTGGATACCTAAGGCTTTTTCTGTGTTTGATTTGGCCAATATATGGCTTTATCCATGCTTTGTATGTATGAGATGGAAATCTATGGTTGCAATGAATATTACATTGGCTACTTTTGCTGCACGCTATACCTAGTTTTATTATGTTGGACTCATTGAAGCAGAAGAAGTGCTGAAACGAGTTCAAGCCTATTACTTTCAGGTAGTCATCTATCTTTGCCTTGAATTCCAGTGACAGCTGCATATAAAGAAGCTTGTATTCGCTGCGAAGGTATCGGATTGTGCAATATGTATCATTTTTTACATATGTGTTTATTTGGGCCTGAATTACCCCCGTTTGTAGTTCAGTCTTTGCATATCCAAGCTTTGCATTCCCTTCAAAAGTGATCTAAAGGGGCTCCCTACTCCTCTCCCTTCTCTGTTCAATGGTAAATTTTTTTATGAGAATCCAGTGGAAAATGTGCTGACGTTATTTAGTCCTAGGATGCAGTAACATAGAACATATGATTTTAATTGCTTTAAACAAAGAGCACCTAAGGTTGGCGTTGAGTCTAAAGCTAGATCTTGGAAAAGATGCCATAGAGCAGTCTATTAGTAGGCTGGCTCCTCACGCTATCCACAAGAAACTTGAAGCACCACATGCCTGGTTAATGTCCAGGGTGGTACCATCTAAACTTTACTTGAAAAGGCTTGGAAACAGCGAGGTGGCTAGTTTATTCACTGCACGATGGACCTCATCGAGACTAGCTGTTGGACTAATTCAGGGAAGGCAGGACTTTGTATTCACTGACATCTTTCATGTATTAAACTAAAACAGATTGTGGAGCATACATATCCTTCATTCTTTGGAAGAATTTAAAAGACACACAGATAAACACACACAAAGATCTCCTGTAAGAGGGAAGGTTACCAAGAGACGGAGGGAGGCAGGAGGAAGGAAAGCAGAAGGGAATGAAAAGAGAATTCAGAGGGGTTACACGCACCAGCTTCCCACGACGAATGCAACCATTATGTACTACAAACATGAACTAATACAAAGGAAAATGAACAAAGACATAGATATCACACCAGGTTCACTGAATGCCATGGAATTCTTTTACGTAGGTCATGCACTTGGTATCAAGGATGCAACATCTAATACCTTGCAAAGGATGATTCTGGGAGTCCCTTGAATGTGGATCTCATCTTACCACTGAAGAAAGAGTCTTGCTGGGAAAATACCACAGGGCTTTGCAGTTTACTGCCCTGCATAAGTAATGGACTCGATTGCTCCCTAATGGCCTGATGAGTTATTGTCCTTCCTTGGGTGCCTAATTGTCCCATGCAGACAGGACCTGGGTATATGAAAAGATACAGACCGTTGCACGATGGTAGTAATTTAAAACAAATTTTATCCCTGTACCAATGACTCCCAAGATATAGCTCCTGGGATAAAAATGAGCTCTAAGCAAGGACCAACAGAAAGCTAATGCTGAAGTACAAATATTTATTTTTGCAACCTCCTTTTTTTTTTTTTTTTTTTTTTTGGTTTTTCTCCGGTACCGGGAACCGAACTCACGACCTTGCGCTTGCCAGGCAGGTGCTTTTGCCGCTGAGCTAAATCCCCAGCCCACAACCTCCTTGACCATCCTTGGTATTGAAACCTAACATGAACTTTTAACGAAGTGTTGTGCTTTCTAAGTTGAATCTTATTAGGTTAAAAAATTATCACATGGTTTTTTTTTCCTTGTAAATGTTTCTAGTGATTGAATAAACACACACATGAATATTATTTACTGTCTGCTCTAACAGTCCAAAGAATAGTAGTAAACTTATAGACACTATTGTAATATGTTAGATGGGACAACATAGAACTTTTTAAGCATAAAGGAATTATTAGACGTTAGGAAGGCTGTGTAAGCTGTTGCGTTTGGTTGCTCACATTTGTAGGAGTAAAGCTTTCAAAATGAGACTTGGCAATATTCAAGTTATATTTGTTGAATATTCATTCATAATAGAAAAGCCTCCTAATGCCTCATTTATATTGTCATTTAAATCTAGTGCCACTTTAGATTAATTATAATCCAAATTATGGCTCTGTGCAGTACAAGAATTAATATAGAGTTTATCCAGATTAATACATTTGCATTGAAAATGTAATATGTCTCTACTGTGGCTGAGGGGACCACACTTCAATAAGGGAGTAAACATGAGCAAAGGTGGAAATTAACCTTCATTATTGCAATTGAAATTATCCTTTCATTCTAGTCTCATTAGAAAGAATACCATACTGGTAATTATAATTTAGAGTTGTTTAGAGTTGAATAACATCTGTTATATCCAAGTTTTATAATGCTCAAATTTTATCAAATATACTGACTCATAAATAACTCAGTATTTTTTTTGTTTTCTTCAAGATTTTCTTTGGGTACATGTGTGTTATTGGATTTTCCTCACTTGTGTGACTATAAGCCATTTTACAACGTTCTGTATTTTAGGGATTGAGAATTATTAAGTAGGCGGCATCTGAATTGAAATGAATTATGTCATTTTATACTAGCAATCTCATGCAAGTTAAATAATCCTATAACTGACAGATAATCACTGGCTTATCTGTTTGGCAGTATTTATTTGTAATTAGACTTCATTTTTTAGTTAAAACTCATTAAAATGACATTGTTCTTTGAGGATATGATGGTGTTCTTACTAACACAAAATAAGCTATGATTCTATTTTAAATTTGTTCCTGGTCTAATGTTAAACAGAATTTATTTCAAGTAAAGATGCAAAAATAAACTATGAGTAACAAAAGTTAATCAAGACCTTCATAAAATTAATTGGTTCTATTTTAATACAAGGCATTTCTGGTATAACAAATTCAGAAAGAAGATCTGAGTTGATTTTCTGTAATTTACCAAGAATGTCATAGTATTAAATCTGAGATAGCAACCCTTTCAGTATTCAGTGCATGCTTGCATAAAATGTAACTTCCATTGTTTCTACAAATAATTCTGTCGACCTACTTCATCCTCATGAGACTATTTCTGTCATGTTACTACATATCAGTAATCTCTGCTTCCTGGTAGTAGCAGTAGTGTGCATTTCTGGGGTGCTTAGCTAATGTGAGGCAGCCTACCCTTCCTACCCTTTATTTATAACTTTATAAAGCTTATTAATTTAAAGTAAAATAGGCTTTGAGAGGCCCCAGTTTACATGCTACCATGATTTAATTAAATCAATTAGCCAAAAATATTGGACTTGACCCATATGTTGAATTAAACACACTATCCAACAGTTATAGCAGGGGCCACGTGATAGAGAACCTGCAACTCTTGCTTTTCTACATGCAGCATGGAGCATCACAAAACTCCAAAGCAATTAATTGTTTATGTTAATATGCATAAAAACAATATATTCTTAACACATATGGTATTAATTGTAACAAACATGCACATCAGTGTATAGGTTTAATAAAATGTTCCAAACCTTAAAATTAATACTCTTTTCACCCTTAACAATATCAACATTAGAATAAGATACACATTATCTACATTTATGGGAAGAAGTCATGGTTATATAGTTCATACAGGTAGAAATTTTTGGAAAGTTTATTATATTTCTGATGTTCCAAAGGGCCTGAAAACAACAAAAATAGCAAAAATTATTTTTCAACTTGTATGTGACAGTCTTCAATAACAGAAAAATTGAACCAATTTTTTATTTGGTCTTTTTGTAACATGTATATAAAAGAATGACAAAGAAATGTGACAAAATAGTATTACTTTCTTAAAGAAACATTGCTACTCATTAATGGGAATTTTTAAAGTAAAGCCTTACAGTCACTTGCTGATTTTTTTTTTTTCAGTACCAGGAATCGAACTCACGACCTTGCTCTTGCCAGGCAGGCACTGTGCCACTGAGCTAAATCCCCAGCCCCTCGCTTGCTGATTTAAGTGACAATCATTTTGTAGAATTTGGACTGACACATTAAATAGAAAACTTTTTTGTAAATATTAAATATATAGACTTATTAAACCTTTAGTACTTTTGAAATAATACAGAGTACATTCTGTATTTCTATTAAGAAATAAAAATAAACTTTGATTCTAGAATTAACCATGGGACAAATATCCCAGTTTTTTACATGTATTTGATATCATGCACTTGGATAATAAGTCAGTATGAGACTTTTGAGTCTAATTCACATTTAAATTCATTGAAATACTTATATGATACACTATTTTAAAAATAAATAGAAATAATTTCAATTTCTCCAAGGCATGTGTACATAGGTACTAATTCAAATAAAATCTACTGTTCATAAATCTACAACTCAGTTATCAGTGTAATCTTTTGAAAATTTAGCACCAATTTCGTCAGAGTCACGAACCCCTAGGGAATAAAATTATTGTCTCCTAAATTCTATTTTAATTTTGATCTCAAATAACTCTTATTTTAACATTTCTTTCTCAATTTGAAATTTCTAAATTTATCTATATGATAGAAGACATTCATATGTGTCCAGGTAGAAATAGAATGGATTTAATTTAGTTCATTTTTACTTTGTTTCTATAATACCTTGACCTCATTTGTACATTAAAACTGCATTATTTTGCAATATGGTGCAATTTGTTCATTTATATGAACCATGTGTGACTGAAAAAAAATCAAGATAAATCTTCATGCACAGCCTACAATCAGATTATGCCTAGACTATATATTTACGCAGGACCTGATAGCAATCAATGGTTTAGCTTCATTGCATTTCAAGATGTATTTGCACCCAGTTGTCCAGTGATAGTGTCCTCACCCTGGAAATAATTTAGTTGCAAATTGACTGGAAGATGGTGAAAATTGAAAGTTAAAATTAGAAATACTCATAATAAACAGCAGAAAAAAGGTCAGATGATACCTCGCTATGATGAGATTGGAATGGCTGGTAAATGAGGTTCTGTGTTTGTGGTGAGATGTATGTGACACGCCTGCCGAATGTCGCTGTAATATCCAGCCTCAGAGAGGAGATTAGCGAGCAAATTGATGCTAGAAAGAATTTTCTGTTTGATTGGGAAATTAGAATCATGCTCTTTTCTTTGATGTGTGTGAGGCTCCTAAATGCTGCATTGCTCATCTAGGCAAAAATTTACATCGTCTTTAATACCAAATATTTGGATTAGCCTCATAAAACAATTGTCTTCCTTGAGGTTTGTACTGTATGTGTACAGTAACCTGCTGAAACATCCACAGCAAAGAGAATATCACTACTAGCAGCAGAAAAATTATGTATGGTTAATTTACAAATCCTTTTAGTTTTCAAATTCATTCCTGATATAAAAACATGATTATTTTACATCCTGAATTTAGTGAGCTCTTCTAAGATAATTGAAATCTTAACATCCAAGAATTAGAAAGGAGATTGGTAGTTAAATATTAGTAAAAAAAAATAATGATTTTTCTAAAGCTGGTATTTGTGAATGGGAGTAGATTGACTTTTACGTGATAAAGGCATTCGGAGACACCAGAGAGCACATGTTATTGATGAACCTTCCAGGGCCACCCAGGGTTATCTAAACAGGAGACAGGAGTACATTTTAAAATATATTTATAAAGTCCACTTGGTGGACAAAAATAAATGTGTCTTTTGCCTTTGGAGATTAGAATTTTTAAAAGTGCTTGCCTGGTTGTTTTTGTGAATCAGTGGGTTTAGATTTACAATTATTTGAAAAGCATAATTTTTCTGATTGTGACAGTGTAAGTATTTATAAGTTGTCCTATTCTTGTTGGGATCCAGGAGTAATCACACCAGAGAAAGAGCTAAAAGTCAGTGTGGCAGGGGGCACGCAGCCACTCCTGCTGGCAAAGGAAGAGGATGTGGCCACAAAGAAGGCCAAGCCTACAGAGGACAATCAGTTCTGTCCTGAACAGGTAAACGTATCATCTTTCCTCTGCTGCCCAGATATCTTCTTTGTTTACTTCCTCCACGTAGTTTAGAACCCAAAGATTCCATGCTTTTACAATGCACGCAGATACCATAATAGGTAATATTATTAAATCTTAGCATTGATTCTAATGTCCTGAAGTTATCAAAATGCATTGCTTACACACGGCCACGCTTACCCGGTCTTTTCCAGTTCTATCCGTGCCCATATTGTAACTACAGTAGCAGGGACCAAGGCCGCGTCCAGATGCACGTCCTGTCACAGCACTCCGTGCAGCCGGTCGTCCGCTGTCCTTTGTGTCAGGACGTCCTCGGCAACAAAACACACCTGCAGCTGCACCTGACACACTTGCACAGCGTGTCACCAGACTGCATGCAGAAGCTGCTCATGACGGTAAGGAGCCCACATGTTCATGCACGTGTAACGTGGCCCGGGTAAAGCTATGCATACAGATCTGTAATTATGGGTTGATAGAAATTTCTCTTTTCCGAGCACATAATACACTAGTTGCTTTTTATATCTGTCATGTTGATCGGGTGTATCACATTGAGTATAAAATTTCTTGGTTACTATTATAAAAAGTAGACCAGCAAAAATCTGTAAGGTATAATGTTATAAAAAATTACAATGCAAAAACATTCATCTGAAATGGGAAGGGAGGTTGCTGCTTTGCTTAGAGAAGTATGAGTAGGGTGCAGTGCTGCGCAGTGGGCTGCATAGCAGAACTGATGATTGCTGGAGCACCTTTAACACAAGCCCCTTCTGTTTACAAGGTGTCTGTCCCTGACATGCTGATGCCAAACAGTATGCTACTGCCAACAGCCAGCCCTGAGAAATCCGAGCGGGACACACCTGCAGCCCTGGCAGCTGAGGGGTCTGGGAAATATTCAGGTATGCTCGGCTCTGAACAGGATCTGAGGAGAAAGTATTCAAGGGCTTGGTTTTGCAGCAGGCCTCTGACATTTTTACTATCACAGATTTTTTTTAAAAGTTACTAACAATACCTTTCCCAGGAAAGGAAAAAGGATGCCATATCCAAGAGCTTTATTTTTAAGGCATATGTAGCCTCTGGTTATCTCTCCCTATGCTTGTAGTTTTCACACCCAACTGTGAGACAGCCAGGAATTTTTGTGTTCTAATGCGTGAACACCGAGATTATGACCCTGGGTGTTTTGCTGCTTGCAGCATGTTGTAATTACTTTTTATTATTTTCTTCTCTATCCTAGAATTTCTTGAGGTCACGGGTGATTTCTTATTCACCTTCATATCCTCAGTACCCAGGCACACAGTGGTCAATAAACATTCCTCAAAAAATCAGTTAAGCCGAAATCTTTACAAGCTACTGTTTTCATACAGAGTGATATTCAAGCAGTAGGTTTTCTTACTGTAAGAGGTATGTTTGTCCTTTCTCCTCATAGGTGAAAGCCCGATGGATGACAAAAGTATAGCCGGTCTTGAGGATTCAAAGGCTAGTGTGGAAATAAAAAGTGAGGAGCAGAAACCAACTAAGGAGCCTTCAGAAGTATCAGAGTGGAGTAAAAATAGCAGTAAGGACATGAAGATCTCTGACACACTGCAAGATCAGCTAAGCGAACAACAAAAAAGACAACCACTCTCAGTTTCTGACCGCCATGTCTATAAGTATCGTTGTAACCATTGCAGCTTGGCTTTTAAAACTATGCAGAAGCTTCAGATACATTCCCAGTACCATGCAATTCGGGCTGCAACGATGTGTAACCTCTGCCAGAGGAGTTTCCGTACATTCCAGGCTTTAAAAAAACACTTGGAAGCAGGACACCCCGAACTGAGTGAAGCTGAACTTCAGCAGCTGTATGCCTCTTTGCCCATGAATGGTGAACTTTGGGCAGAGAGTGAAACTATGGCCCAGGATGACCATGGTTTAGAGCAGGAAATGGACAGAGAGTATGAGATGGACCACGAAGGGAAGGCAAGTCCTGTAGGAAGTGACAGTAGCTCTATTCCAGATGACTTGGGCTCTGAACCAAAGCGGACCTTACCTTTTAGAAAAGGGCCCAATTTTACAATGGAAAAATTCCTTGATCCATCTCGTCCCTATAAATGTACAGTGTGTAAAGAGTCATTCACCCAAAAGAACATTCTCCTGGTCCATTATAATTCAGTGTCTCACCTGCATAAGTTGAAAAAGGTTTTGCAGGAAGCCTCAAGTCCTGTCCCACAAGAACCCAACAGCAGTACAGATAACAAACCCTACAAGTGCAGCATCTGCAATGTTGCATACAGCCAAAGCTCGACACTGGAAATCCACATGAGGTCTGTGCTCCACCAGACAAAGGCCAGGGCTGCAAAACTGGAGCCAGGCGGGCATATGCCCGGTGGGCACAGCATTGCAACAAACATGAATAGCTCTGGCCAAGGGATGTTAGATTCCATGAGTTTAGCAGCAGTCAACAGCAAAGATAGCCACTTAGATGCCAAAGAATTGAATAAAAAGCCGACTCCTGAATTAATCTCTGCTCAGCCTACACATCACTCACCACAGTCACCAGCACAGATTCAGATGCAACTGCAGCATGAGTTACAACAGCAGGCTGCATTCTTTCAGCCTCAGTTTCTCAACCCAGCCTTTTTGCCTCATTTTCCTATGACACCAGAAGCGCTACTGCAATTTCAGCAGCCTCAGTTTCTCTTTCCATTCTATATACCTGGGACAGAGTTTAGCTTGGGGCCAGATTTAGGCTTGCCAGGCTCTGCCACATTCGGTATGCCAGGCATGACAGGAATGGCTGGCTCCTTACTGGAGGATCTGAAGCAGCAGATTCAAACCCAACACCACATTGGCCAAACTCAGCTCCAAATTCTACAGCAACAAGCACAATACCAAGCCACACAGCCTCAGCTACAGCCTCAAAAACAGCAGCAGCAGCAGCCGCAGCCCTCACAACAGCCACAGCAGCAGCAGCAGCAACAGCAGCAGCAGCAGCAGCAACAGCAGCAGCAAGCAAGCAAATTATTGAAACAAGAGCAAGGTAACCTGCCAAGTACAGACTGCCAGATGATGAAGGACATGCCATCTTATAAGGAGGCAGAAGAGATTTCTGAAAAGCAAGAAAAACCAAAGCAAGAATTTGCAAGTGAAGGCGAAGGACTCAAAGAAGGCAAAGACATCAAGAAGCAAAAATCTTTGGAAGCATCCATCCCTCCACCCCGAATAGCCTCAGGGGCCAGAGGAAACGCAGCCAAAGCTTTACTGGAAAACTTTGGTTTTGAACTGGTCATTCAGTACAATGAAAATAGGCAAAAGGTTCAGAAGAAGGGCAAAAGCGGTGAAGGTGAAAACACGGACAAACTGGAATGCGGAACGTGTGGCAAATTGTTCTCCAATGTTCTCATTTTAAAAAGTCATCAAGAACATGTACATGGACAGTTTTTTCCATATGGAGCCCTAGAAAAATTTGCTCGTCAATACAGGGAAGCCTATGACAAGCTTTATCCCATTTCTCCTTCTTCCCCTGAAACACCTCCTCCACCACCCCCGCCTCCTCCCCTGCCGCCAGCTCCGCCGCAGCCTTCCTCTATGGGCCCTGTGAAAATCTCAAACACTGTT